ACAGTACACAATGAAGGAAAACTACCTGCATGTGCTACTCGAGAAAGAGGCCTGGGAATAGACGTAACACCAAATCTAACTCCAGAGGCACACACAAACAGGATAATGTCAGCGTACTCTATGCTAGGAAAAGTTGGAACATAATTCAGGAGCTTAGTAAGTAGGCATTTAGAGTGCTGTACATTGCCTATGTGAAACCAGTCTTAAGAGTATGGCCGCCCCGTCATGGAGGCCTTCCCCCTGAAGAAACACGTAAGACAACAGGAAAAGGCTCAGAAGTTTGCAATGAGGTTCGTCCTAGAATTGCAATGGATGGGGTATGAAGAGCGACTGAAGGAACTGAACGTGACGACGCCAGAAAAAAGGAAGAAGTAGGGAGATATGATAGAGACATAAAATATTTGGGGGATTGACACAGTGGAAATTGACGAAATGTTCACAGTGAATACCCACTAAACAAAGGAACACAAGTGGAAGCTGGAAACTCAGATGAGTCATAGAGATGTTGGAAAGTTTTTCATTAGTGAAAGAATAGTAGGAACAAGGAGTGAACTTAAGGAGCAGGTTGTGGAAGCAAACTCTATTCAAATTTTTAAACTAGATATGATAGGGAAGTAGGACAAGAGTAATTATTTAAACAGTAAAAAACTAGAAAGGCGGGATCCAAGTGCCAATGCTCGATCCTTCAGGCAGAAATAGGTGTACACACACACACACACACACACACACACACACACACACACACACACACACACACACACGGCCGAGCTGACATCACGCTGGACTTGTGATCCTGTGGTCCCGGATTCGATCCTGGGCGCCGGCGAGAAACATTAGACAGAGTTTCTTTTACCCTATGCCCCTATTACCTAGCAGTAAATAGGTATCTGGGAGTTAGTCAGCTGTCACGGGCTGCTTCCTGGTGTTTGTGTGGTGTGGAAAAAAATAGTAGTTGGTAACAGTTGAGAGGCGGGGCGAAAGAGCAGAGCTCAACCCCCGCAGGCACAACTAGTGAATACACACACACACACATTAATGAAACTAGGAGGAGGAACTAGAAGGCTAGTCACTGGATACCGAATGAGAGATGAAGTCCTTCACGAAACGGACAGAGAGAAAGATCTGGAAGTTAACATCACACCAAACCTGTCACCCGAAGCCCACATCAAAAGAATAACACCAGCGGCCTATGCGAGGCTGGCTAACATCAGAACTGCTTTCAGAAACCTGAGTAAGGAATCCTTCAGAACCTTGTATACCACATATGTAAGGCCAATCCTGGAGTATGCAGCCCCAGCATGGAGCCCTTATCTAGTCAAGCACAAGACGAAGCTGGAAAAAGTTCAGAGGTATGCCACTAGGCTAGTCCCAGAACTAAGAGGCATGAGTTATGAGGACAGACTACGTAAGCTGCACCTCACGTCGCTGGAAGACAGAAGGGCTAGGGGAGAAATGATCACCACATACAAAATTCTCCGGGGAATTGACAGGGTGGACAAGGATGGATTAAATTTAACACGGGTGGCACACGCACAAGGGGACACAGGTGGAAGCTGAGTACCCAAATGAGCCACAGGGACATTAGAAATAACTTTTTCAGTGTCAGAGTAGTTAGTAAATGGAATGCACTAGGAAGTGATGTGGTGGAGGCTGACTCCATACACAGTTTCTAATGTAGATATGACAGAGCCCAGTAGGCTCAGGAAACTGTACACCTGTTGATTGACGGTTGAGAGGCGGGACCAAAGAGCCAGAGCTCAACCCCCGCAAGCACAATTAGATGAGTACACGCACGCGCGGGTGAAGGGCCTCGTGGTTAAGTGGACATCACTCGGGGGGTCGTAGTCCTAAGGGCCGGGGTTCGATTCCAGGTCGAGGCAAAAACAAATGGGCAGAGTTTGACCCTGATGCCCTGTTCACCTAGCAGTAAATAGGTACCTGGGAGTTAGACAGCTGCTATGCGTTGCTTCCTGGGGATGTGCGCGCGCGCGCGCCAGCGTGTATTAAAGATAAATAAATGTAGTGTACATAATAGGGAAAAATAGATTGGTTAGAAAGGCGGGGTCCAAGAGCTAATAGCTCGATTCTGCAGGTACGGATAGTAAATACAAATTGTAAATACACACACACACACACACGCACCGGCACGCTCGGGAAGCGTGCAACAAATGCACTGCAACATTCTACTCGACTGCACGATTTAGCTACACGAAACATTTCCCTAATCCTGCTACCCTCAGCCCAGGCCTTACCCTCGTCTTACCCGGCTACTTCGTCCCATCCTCCTCACCCTCGTACCCTCATCACACCGCCCTCACCCTGCTACCCTCATCCTCCTCCTCACCCTGCTATCCTAATCCCACCTCTTTTTCTACCCCATCCCCCTCACATTCTTCTACCCTCATTCTCCCTCTCCCTGCTATCCGCTCATCCCATTCCCAGCACTCTTCGTCCCCTCCGTGCATGCCGTGGCTCTGAGGACCGAGGGGAAGCCTGGCAAGAGGAGCTTAGACGGCATAACTGGGGGTCCTGTAATGGGAATAAAGGATTCTGGGAGGAGTTTTTAGGTTCTTATCAACGGCCACATTAAGGATTAGCTGAATATTCATCGCTACTCGTATCCCCGACCCTAACGACCATTAAACTAGCTGTCCTCCTAATCCCACTCCACGTTTTCTTCTGTTGTTATGTTTGGGCTGCTGAGGAGGGGGGGGGGGTGTTAACTGGGGAGGGAGGGTAGAGGGGACAGTCTTTAATTGTAATTCTTTCCTTGTTTGTGTACTGTGGTAGGGCAAGGTCAGTTTTTTATTGTATCACTTTTTTAAACTAAATTGTGCAAAGGGAAATTTGACAGACGTAAATAAATGCTCGTCATGATTTCGCCTTATTTTATCATATATGTCCTAGTTGTGAGCATCTGTCAAGAGTATCAAAGTCCCTCAATCGTTAATTAAAAGGTCGCGGGCGCATTGCCGACTTGGAATAAAAATTTTGAATTAATATTCGAATACTAGTTAAACATTCATGAACAAATTCACGTAATGAGAACTGTTGAACATGCAAGAATTACTTACTGATCACGCCGCCTGTCTGAATTTTGCCATTATGGACGCCCTGTGTCTTGATACAAGCATACGCATTCTAAAGATATAAATAGTATGCCTCGGTACTGTATAATTACTTAAGTATAATTAACTGAGTATATTTACAAGATGAAAGCTTTGCTCGTGGTGTCTTCCCAGTGTTCGCTGTCATATGACGGGTTGAAACTGCTGACGGTTTTGACATCCGCCGTCTCACTTGTTCCAACCGTCTATCAGTGTTTGCAAAAAAGATAATTTTATAAAAAATTTCGGCACTTTGATTCATGAGCATTAATATATGACCTCGTGTTTTTGATGTTGCAGGTGTCAAGGATTACTTCATCAATTTAGTCTATTCCAGTTCCTATAATGTACGTAGTGATCATATCACCTCTTTTTTTATTCTCTTATAGCTTTTGTATATTTAACACCTTAGTTCAGCCTCTCTTTGACGGTCTTGTTTTTCAGTTCCGGAAGCCATTCAGTATCATGTCTTTACACCTTTTCCAGTTTACTGATGTGCGTCTTGAGATATGGGCACCATATAACTGCTGCCTATTCCAATTTTGGTCTTTGTGTGTGTGTGTGTGTGTGTGTGTGTGTGTTCTCACGTATTTTTACTCGCTTATTTGTGCGTGCAAGATTGAGCTCTTGGATCCTACCTTTCTATTCGCCGGTTGTCTAATGCAATGAATCCTGACCTATTTCCCTATCGTATATACTTTTAAAATTATGAATAGAAATTGCTTCTACAACCTGCTCCCTTAAATCATTCCATTTCCCACTACTCCTGCGATAAAATACAACTTTCTGACATCTTTACTACTCGTTTCAGTCTCAAGTCTCCATCAAAACCTTCTTGTTCTGTTGGTGTTCATTGTGAACATTTCCTCCTTTACTACTCAGTCCCGATAAGTATTGTATACGTTTCTATCATGGCCTCCCCATCTCTCTTTTTCTAGCGTCGTCAGACTTAGTTCTTTCAGTCTCTCTTCACATCGCATCCCTCGCAATTTTGGGACGAGCCTTGTTGCAAATTTCTGAATTTTGTTGAGTTTTTCTCTGGTCTCCCATAGGCGGTGTTCAGCAATCTAAATGCCTGTTTATTTATGTTCCTCGATGATGATCTGACTTCTGGTAGTGTATTTACACTATTACACTGTTATGCTGCTAACTTTATCCTATTTATGTGACTCAGGACTTGGTGTTATGTCGACTCTATGGCATTTTCCCTAGACGTTTTAGGGAGATTGTTTCCGTTGAATCGTGCACTGTCCTTTTGGTCTCTTGACACCTGTTCCCATCTCCATCACCTTACAATTGTTGGTGTTGAACTCCTTTAGCCATTTCTCGGGCCAACTCTGCAGCATGTTTAAAGTCGTCTTAGAGAATCTAACAATCCTTATATGATGCATCACTTGCAAATATTGGCATATTAGATTCAACTCCTGTAGTGCTCATTTAAATAATTAAGAAATAGTATGGGTCCCAGCACCAGTCTTTGATCCACTTGTTACAATACACGTTTCCGAATTCTCCCTCTCACTGATTACTACCTGTTAAGTAATTCTTTACCCATGTTAGTGTTTTCCTCTTACTCCCGCCTGCCACTCGAGTTGTGTAGTTATCTCTTGAAGTACTGTATCAAAACTGTGTAAAGTGCGTGGATGTGTGTCTTTTTGTGCGTAATCTTCCGTAAGAGATTACATTTAAATATGCATTTATAAGTTTTTTACATTTCATATTTACATATGTATAATTATGTTTTTTTGTCATCGTCAGGAAAGCCTTGCATAACTCGCCTTGTTCTGGTACGACTAGTTTACTAATTACCACCAGCTGTTGACTCGAGAATATTATCATCAGATTAACGGTTTTATGTAACGATCCCCGCTGTTCTGTCGCGTGTTACACTAGCGATGGTGTAGCGAGGTGTACGGCAGTAATAGCGAGGTGTACGGCAGTAATAGCGAGGTGTACGGCAGTAATAGCGAGGTGTACGGCAGTAATAGCGAGGTGTACGGCAGTAATAGCGAGGTGTACGGCAGTAATAGCGAGGTGTACGGCAGTAATAGCGAGGTGTACGGCAGTAATAGCGAGGTGTACGGCAGTAATAGCGAGGTGTACGGCAGTAATAGCGAGGTGTACGGCAGTAATAGCGAGGTGTACGGCAGTAATAGCGAGGTGTACGGCAGTAATAGCGAGGTGTACCGCAGTAACAGCGAGGTGTACCGCAGTAACAGCGAGGTGTACCGCAGTAACAGCGAGGTGTACCGCAGTAATAGCGAGGTGTACGGCAGTAATAGCGAGGTGTACGGCAGTAATAGCGAGGTGTACCGCAGTAACAGCGAGGTGTACCGCAGTAACAGCGAGGTGTACCGCAGTAACAGCGAGGTGTACCGCAGTAACAGCGAGGTGTACCGCAGTATCAGCGAGGTGTACCGCAGTAATAGCGAGGTGTACCGCAGTAATAGCGAGGTGTACCGCAGTAATAGCGAGGTGTACCGCAGTAATAGCGAGGTGTACCACAGTAATAGCGAGGTGTACCGCAGTAATAGCGAGGTGTACCACAATAACAACCTCTTTCCTCTCCTGACAAGCAAATCAAACATTCTGGATAAGAAGGAAGTGATTAATGTGTTTCGTAAAGGGGGCAGGGATCAATTTCCCCGGAGTTGGCAACCGCTATTCATTAATGTTCCACTCAATATTTGGGGATTAGGCCTAAACTTTGTTATTGTGGTGACGTTCTTGTTAGGGATGAGGACGTGGTGGTTTGTTATGGGTGTTTGGGGCATGGGTACTGGCTGGGGCACGGGTTCTGGCTGGGGCATGGGTTCTGGCTGGGGCATGGGTACTGGCTGGGGCATGGGTACTGGCTGGGGCATGGGTACTGGCTGGGGCATGGGTACTGGCTGGGGCATGGGTACTGGCTGGGGCACGGGTTCTGGCTGGGGCATGGGTACTGGCTGGGGCATGGGTACTGGCTGGGGTATGTGATGGTTGATGGGTGGACTGGGTTAATCATGTGGTGAGAGGATGAGTTCGAGTTACCTTTGAAAGGGCTGAAGGTGTTGTGTGTACCTGAAGGTGCCTGGAGTATTGTAATGTGTGTCCATGTGTGTGTACTATCTCTGCCTGCACTATATCAAGCAATTAGCTCTTGGGCCCTGCCTTTCTAACTGTTGTGTGTGTGTGCACACCTAGTTGTACTCACCTAGTTGTGCTTGCGGGAGTTGAACTTTGCTCTTTGGTCCCGCCTCTCAACTGTCAATCAACTGATGTACAGATTCCTGAGCCTACTGGGCTCTGTCATATCTACATTTGAAACTGTCTATAGGGTCAGCCTCCACCACAACACTGCCTAATGCATTCCACCTGTTAACTACTGACACTGAAAAAGTTCTTTCTAACGTCCCTGTGGCTCATTTGGGTACTCAGTCTCTCCTTGTGTCCCCTTGTTTGCGTACCACCCGTGTTAAAAAGTATTCCTTACCTTCCCTGTCAATTCCTCTGAGAATTTTATAGGTAGTGATCATGTCTCCCCTTACTCTTCTGTCTTCCAGTGTCATGAGGTGCATCTCCAGCCTTTCCTCGTAACTTATGCCTCTTAGTTCTGGGACTAGCCTAGTGGCATACCTCTGAACTTTTTCGAGCTTCGTCTTGTGCTTGACAAGGTACGGGCTCCATGCTGGGGCCGCATACTCTACATACACGCGCGCACACACATTGTGTGTATTTACTCACCTAGTTGTGCTTGCGGGGGTTTAGCTCTGGCTCTTTGGTCCCGCCTCTCAACTGTCAATCAACTGATGTACTAGTTCCTGAGCCTATTTGGCACTATGATATCTACACTTAAAACTGTGTATGGAGTCAGCCACCACCACATCACTTCCTAATGTATTCCATTTGTCATCCACTCTGACACTAAAAAAAGTTCTTTCTAATATCTCTGTGGCTCATCTGGGCCCTCAATTTCCACCTGTGTCCCTTAGTGCGTGTGCTCCTTATGTTAAATAGCTTGTCTTTATCTACCCTATCAATTCCTTTGAGAATATTGTATGTGGTGATCATGTCCCCCTAACTCTTCTGTCTTCCTGTGTGTGTACTTGCTTTCACCTTGTGTTTACATGGACGAGTAATTGCTGCTTAGTCCCACCCAACCATCTTGTCAGTTAATTCAACAATTTTCATTCTTGGTTTTCGCCGTATTTAATTATTTAAAACTATTGAATTTAAAAAAGTAATGATGGAAAGTGCTTCTGTTTCTTATATTCTCACAACTCGTCTTTATTAATCTTATTGATTTCCTTGTGATCTTTGATTTAATTACATGTCTAGATTCCTTAGTGTTTCCTCGTGGATCAATCCAAGCAAATCTGGTACGAGCCTTTGTTGCATAACTAACAAACACGTAAGGAGGTGTAACCTACTTCTCAATGTGTATACACCCAGAGTTTACTTTGGTCTGATTAATGTTCAGTTCAGTATACAGGTTGTAGGTTGGTCAGCATATGGCATTACCTGAGAGACTGAGGTAAAGATGGCATTACCTGAGAGGCTGAGGTAAAGATGACATTACCTGAGAGGCTGAGGTAAAGATGGCATTACCTGAGAGGCTGAGGTAAAGATGACATTACCTGAGAGGCTGAGGTAAAGATGGCATTACCTGAGAGGCTGAGGTAAAGATGACATTACCTGAGAGGCTGAGGTAAAGATGACATTACCTGAGAGAGTGTGCCCATCTAAGAGACAGTATAAATGTGTGTATTATAATAAACCCTATATTGTTTGAGCATGGAAAGCACTTTGTGTCAAATATAAATGCTGCCCGTCAAAGTTTCCCACCTTGTACCACAAGTTAACGCAAACCTGAGGGTTGTAAGACGTCATTTCCTTCTCTTGCAGTCTGTTCACTTGAGATACTTAAGTGAGTCCCAGTTACGTCTTGGTACAAGTAACAGGATGAACAACCCAGCCGGGTTTCTTCCTACTGGGGGTGTTGTACGTGATGGTATTGTGGTATGTTCATTCACAGGATGAGCGACGCTGCCCAATAAATTCGACCTCCGAGGTAAAATTATAAAACTTAGTAAGTGGCCACACCCAGCGAGGTTGCTGGGACCTTGGCCCAACACAACGTCAAATCAACCAATGTCGTCACGTTCAGGTACCCTGAGAAACACTCCTCTCAATTTACTATGGCATCACATTTTCTTTTAAAGTTGTTGATGGACTTTAAACAAATGTCCTTTCACTTAATACACCATAATTTTTACCCAGTCGATCCCAACGTAAAAATTGCGGAGTTTTAGTAATCTTATTAACGATGTAAAACAGACGCTTCCTGTGATTAATGAGCATCGGCCACGATAGGTCAGATGGGTTTCCAAGGTTGTCATGCTTCGGGCAAGGCAAAACATCCTCAGAGTATAGGGTTGTCAAGCAGGGTGCCTCTACGTCCTCCTCCAGATGGCTCTGCCCGTCTCCCTCAAGTATGTTTTTGTAGTCCTGAGTGTTATGCCAACTTGCTTATCGTGGCACTGGCCAGTGCGCATGACTGCATGTTGATAACCGCCCACACATACCCTGAACCATGTGGAGTGGGCGTGCGACCGTGCGCCATGGTGGTGGTGCGTCAAGTGGGTGGCGCAGCTGGTGCACGTGTGGCTAATTAACACTCGTCTCCAGGAACAAAAACTCGTAATTGACAACACCAGAGCTCTCGTTAAACACAAGCCCAGCTGCACCTCAGTCTTACTCTCTCTTGACTACAGTCTACAGTAATAATATTTGTATGTACGTATGTATTTAATATATATATATATATATATATATATATATATATATATATATATATATATATTATACAGATTCCTGAGCCTATTGGGCTCTATCATATCTATATTTGAAACTGTGTATGGAGTCAGCCTCCACCACAACACTACTTAATGCATTCCGTTTGTTAACTACCCTGACACTGAACAAATTCTTTCTAACGTCTCTGTGGCTCATCTGGGTACTAAATTTCCACCTGTGTCCCCTTGTTCGTGTTCCACCCGTGCTAAATAGTTTGTCTTTGTCCACCCTGTCAATTCCCCTGAGAATTTTGTAGGTGGTTATCATGTCTCCCCTTACTCTAATGTTTTCCAGGGTTGTGAGGTTCAGCTCCCTTAGCCTTTCCTCGTAACTCTCTGTTTGTGTGTGTGTGTGTGTAGAGAAATAATTTAGCATGAGCTGGCTTATCTAGCTGTTCCTATGAGAGACGGTATCTAGCATCTGGTCCCGCCTTCTGGTGTTTATCATCTTCAGAGCATAAATTACAACACCAATTAAATGATTAAACACTATACAATGCAGTTATTGTTTTATATTTTTTTTACAAACACTAAAATGTAAAAATAAACTCCATTAAAAATTACGTTTTACCTATTTTAGTCCCTGAACAAATTTAGAATCATGTCTTAGCATTTAAAATTAAACTAAATGTCATGGGCGTTCTCTATCAATATTCACAACCCAAAACGAGGGGTCTAATTAACACAGCCTACTATTGAATTATTGGAGCTTGTATTGTGTTAAAAGATAAAGCCGTAATACTGTTGACAAAAATACAAATTTATTATTATTTATTTAAAACAATAAGGATTTGTCCTGGGCAGGACACGAGGGACGAAGGTCCTTGTCATGACGGTTCTTAAATGTATTTTGTCTTTTAAGAGACACGTGCTGTGATTGTGTTGTAAAAGTGGAATACAATTAGTCGTTTATAATTTTTGCTCAAAATTACAGCTGCATTAGACACCCATAACCATGAGCAAGTAGCAATATTTGTATCCAATATTTTATCAGATAAATTAATAAAAAGCTACTCTGGCCATGCTTTGTCCTATCAATATTTTCTGTTAAATTCTCCAATTTACGATTAATTCTTTTGTAGATCACTGAACATGTTTGCCAACTTATGGGACAAGATTAATACAAACGTTGTTAAAATTCATCTGTTACGGTCTGCTCAAAATGGTGTTGTGGCTTTTGAAGGTCTGTTATTAAATATTGGATGTCTTGCATGCTTCTTAAAGACGATCCTTTGAATGCATTAAAAGGGTGATCTCTCAACTTAAGGTTTCTTTTTTTCGTAGCGATTTTAGTAAGACTTGTTCACATAAGCAATTCCCAAGAAACTACAACCATAGTTTTATTTCATGTTGAAAATTGCATGTCGATGATGAAATTAGAACCATATATATTATAGTTTTCAACTTCAGATATACCAAGACTTTTATTGGAGATTTGAAAATGGCTGTAATTGTTTTGTATAATAAAGAATAGAAAATAATGACAATTAAATCTTAATATTTTATGAAAATTGTAATGGTATTCATACAATACTAATTTTGTACTATCGCTGCAGCTTGATATAAAATAAAATTAATTGTAAATTGCCCTGAAAATTGAATCTTAATAGCATTTACATAATCCCTTATTAATCTTATAATAAATTCTGTAAGAACAAAATAATAAACACAGCCATGAGAATAAAAGAACATAAATATAGCATTTAGATATCACGAATGTATTACGTTATTCATTTAAGAGATTCAAGTTATTTAATTGACTGCATTAATTCTCAGAAAATTATAACATGTTATATTTATTATGTTTATTAAGGAAACATAATTTTAACTTGTATTAATAATGAACTATGAACTATAAATTTGTCCAGAACTTTTGAAGTTGAACACACTTGACTACCACCAAGACTTTATTTTTAAATTATGTTCGAGAAAACTATTACAGTATTTGTTTCTTTACACAGGTGGGTAGAAGAGTAGATCACTTCTGAATCCTGTTAGCAGGCTTAAATCTTTTCCCTCCTGTAACTCGTGTTTAGCATTAACCTATCAGGATTTCATGGAACACGGCACACCTGTCAGGTTACAACCAGATCCCCAAGCTTGATGAACAGAGGTGCATAGTTAAGAATTGATGGCTAGTCACCCCTCGCTATTTAGAGCTCGAACCTAGACTAAATGGCTGGCGAGGCATCGGGTGAGTACTCTACCACTGTAATTATGGTAGTCTGAGACTGTTTTAGGGTACTCTCGGATATCAATTTAAAAAGAGCTGGTAGAGGAGAAATATAGTTAACGAGAAAGGTATATATACATATGGAGAGAACGGGAGATAGAGATGGATATCAGATGTGTACAGATTAATATGATGTAAAGGTAGAGACGTGAGAACACAGATATATTACCTCGACCTCTCTCCCGGCCACAATATGTAGACAGGCAGAGGGAAAAGTCGCGCTGCACGCGACGCAGAATATATAAAAATAATTTTTAAAAGCATTTCAGAAAAGGGTGGAGATAAAAATGAAAAGGCAACAAGGGCCGTGATGGCTTAGCGGACGCCCTTCGCTCACCCCATTTTAAAATGCAAATAGCAAAATGGTGCATTAAGCTCATACATACAGTAGGCCTAGACCGCCGGGGGCCTGAATACCGACTCTCGGTCCCGGGTGAGAGAGGGGAGGGGCTGTGGGCAGGGGGGATGACACAGGGCCAAGTAGAGGAAGAACTTCAAAGTGCTCTCCATGTCCTTCATAATGAAAGACCCTAACATTGTCCACTAGGGATCCCCGGCCCCCCACCCTCACGTGATCGACGGTCAAGCTAGCTTCTAGCATTGTTATACTCTCCCCACCACCACTCACCTCCCCCCCCACCACCACCCTACGTCCCCCCCCCCACCACCACCCTACGTCCCCCCCCCACCACCACCCTACGTCCCCCCCACCACCACCCTACGTCCCCCCACCACCATCCTACGTCCCCCACCACCATCCTACGTCCCCCCACCAACACCCTGCGTCCCCCCCACCACCACCCTACGCCCCCCCCTCCACCACCCTACGCCCCCCCCTCCACCACCCTACGCCCCCCCCCACCACCATCCTACGTCCCCCCCCACCAACACCCTACGTCCCCCCCCACCAACACCCTACGTCCCCCCCACCAACACTCTACGTCCCCCCCACCAACACCCTACGTCCCCCCCACCAACACCCTACGTCCCCCCCACCAACACCCTACGTCCCCCACCACCAACACCCTACGTCCCCCACCACCAACACCCTACGTCCCCCACCACCAACACCCTACGTCCCCCACCACCAACACCCTACGTCCCCCACCACCAACACCCTACGTCCCCCACCACCAACACCCTACGTCCCCCACCACCAACACCCTACGTCCCCCACCACCAACACCCTACGTCCCCCACCACCAACACCCTACGTCCCCCACCACCAACACCCTACGTCCCCCACCACCAACACCCTACGTCCCCCACCACCAACACCCTACGTCCCCCACCACCAACACCCTACGTCCCCCGCCACCAACACCCTACGTCCCCCGCCACCAACACCCTACGTCCCCCACCACCATCACCCTACGTCCCCCACCACCAACACCCTACGTCCCCCACCACCATCACCCTACGTCCCCCACCACCATCACCCTACGTCCCCCACCACCATCACCCTACGTCCCCCACCACCAACACTCTACGTCCCCCCCCACCAACACTCTACGTCCCCCCCACCAACACTCTACGTCCCCCCCACCAACACTCTACGTCCCCCCCACCAACACTCTACGTCCCCCCCACCAACACTCTACGTCCCCCCACCAACACTCTACGTCCCCCCACCAACACTCTACGTCCCCCCCCCACCAACACTCTACGTCCCCCCCCCCAACACTCTACGTCCCCCCCCCCCCACCAGCACTCTACGTCCCCCCCACCAACACTCTACGTCCCCCCCCCCCACCAACACTCTACGTCCCCCCCCCCCCAACACCCTACGTCCCCCCCCCACCAACACCCTACGTCCCCCCCCCACCAACACTACGTCCCCCCCCCACCAACACCCTACGTCCCCCCCCCCCACCAACACTCTACGTCCCCCCCTCACCTCACACTTACCCCAACCTTCAACTTTTACTGTATAGCTATATAGGTGTACTGGCTTGGCGCTTTTCCCTGATAGTTCCCATCCCTTCCCTCCCCCCCCCTCCTCCCATTTACCCTTTCCCACTTTCACTCACACATCCCCTATCCATCCCCCTTCCCCCCCCAGCAAGCTCAGAAATCTTCCCCAGTCCCAGTTTCCTCGGGCACCTCTTTCCCCCTATTACCCCATGAACCCCCCCCCCCATTCCACTTTCCCCCAGCACCTATTTACCCTCACTCCCCCTCTTTTCATACCCTTCCAGTCTTAAATCTTACTATCTATTGTAATATCTTGTAATATCTTGTATCTTGGTGGGAGCCGGTCGGCCGAGCGGACAGCACACTGGACTTGTGATCCTGTGGTCCCAGGTTCGATCCCGGGCGCCGGCGAGAAACAATGGGCAGAGTTTCTTTCACCCTATGCCCCTGTTACCTAGCAGTAAAATAGGTACCTGGGTGTTAGTCAGCTGTCACGGGCTGCTTCCTGGGGGTGGAGGCCTGGTTGAGGACCGGGCCGCGGGGACACTAAAGCCCCGAAATCATCTCAAGATAACCTCAAGATATATCTTTTATATTTTCTCTTCTTCCATTCTTCCAGTAAAGCTGTTATCCTCTTTATTCCAACTCTTACTTTAATCTATCATTCCCTTCTCCTCCTCGCTTCCATCTACTTCTCCAATTGCTCCATCCCTGCTCTCCTTCCACTGGTATGTGAAGGAAAGAGAGAAAGGAGCCAATAAAATGGTCATTTTGCACCTTATTGGAATCCCTTTTGTAGTTCGGTCTTAGACGAAGGGCCAGAATTTAGGCGGGTGGAATTCGCTACTTCATGAAAAAAAAAAAAAAATTCTTCGCACGGATGGACTCAAACGCAAACAAAAACACACACAGGGCGCGCACAACGCACGCACGCACGCGCTCACGCACACACGCGCGCACGCGCGCACGCACGCACGCACGCACGCGCGCACACGCGCGCACACACGCGCGCACACACACACGCGCACACAAACACACGCACGCACACGCACGCACACGCACACACACGCACACACACGCACACACACACGCACACACACGCGCACACACACACACACACACACACACACACACACACACACACACACACACACACACACACACACACACACACACACACACACACAGTTTGTTTAAGTTTACCTCCCTTTCTAGTCATCCTGGAGTATGCAGCCCCAGCATGGAGCCCATATCTAGTCAAGGATAAGAATAAACTGGAAAAGGTTCAAAGGTTTGCCACCAGACTAGTACCCGAGCTGAGAGATATGAGCTACGAGGAGAGCCTACGGGAATTAAACCTCACTTCGTTGGAAGACAGAAGAGTTAGGGGGGGACATGATCACCACATTCAAGATTCTGAAGGGAATTAATAGGGTAGATAAAGACAGGCTATTTAACACAAAGGGCACACGCACAGGGGGACGCAGGTGGAAACTGAGTGCCCAAATGAGCCACAGAGATATTAGAAAGAACTTTTTTAGTGTCAGAGTCGTTGACAAATGGAATGCACTAGGAAGTGATGTGGTGGAGGCTGACTCCATACACAGTTTCAAGTGTAGATATGATAGAGCCCAATAGGCTCAGGAACCTGTACACCTGTTGATTGACGGTTGAGAGGCGGGACCAAAGAGCCAGAGCTCAACCCCAGCAAACACAACTAGGCGAGTACACACACACACGCACACACAAAATGAAAGAACTGGAGGTAGACATAAATCTGATGGCAGAAGTCCACATTAAGAGACCAACAGCAGCAGCATGTGGCATACTGGCCAACGTTAGTGTATCCTTCAGAAACTTGGCCAAATGGCCTTTTCCGGGCCCTATACACAGCAAAGGTGAGGCAGTCTTGAATATGCATCCCCGGCGTTGAACCGGCATTGAAAAAAAGACTAGGAAAAAACAGATAACGTCCAAAGATACGTAACGGAGCTCTTTCTTGAGTTAAAGGAATTGAGCTATGAGGAAAGACTGAGAGAACTGGACTTTAAACAATGGTGAAGAGAGAATGGGGATATAATAATAATAAAATCCAAAGGGAAATTGACAAAGCGGACAAAGGAGCATAGTTCAGCGCCAGGAACAGCAGAACGAAGGATTATAGATGGAAACTAGAGGCACGCATGAGTCACAGGGATATCAGAAAGAACTTTTTCAATGTTCGAACTGTCAGTAAGTGTAATAGGGTAGATTTAGCAGTCGTTGAAGCTAAATAGATTGAAAATGTTAAATGTAAATAATATAAAAGCGAGAGAAATGAGTCATTGCATTAATCTAAGAACATTTCATTAATCTAAGAAATAAATGGTCTAGTAACCTACCTCGACCTTGCAAGCACATCTAGATGAGTGGCATACCTAGATGTGCTTGCGTACAATAATTTTTTAATCTTTCATGGACCCACGCACCGCTGTCCACGAACCCGGATTAAATTCATAGCCGAGATGGAAACAAATGGGAAGAGTTTCTTTCACCTGATGTTTGATCACCTAGCAGTAAATAAGTACCTGGGAGTGAAGTCGATATTGACGAAATACAAAATCGTTGTATCAGGAGAACTTGGTGTATGAGTTTGATTTAAACTCAGGGTTTATGTACATTTAGTCCACTGGTGGCAGATTATAGTAATTGTTAGAGTTGTGGAGGTGTGGACGAGACGCGGTAAACCCAGTGTAGCTGCACCGAGCTCTACACACAGACAGGTACACAGATACACCCTGATGCCATGCGGGGCACCACTACTCTCCGTTGCAAAGATACTCTATGAACAGCATCACTAGTCAATTATATTTTATAATGTAAACCGTTAGAAATGTAATATCTTTAACGATGTCAGTAGTGTGTAAATTTTCATTATCGTAATCCTATAAGTTTTAAAGATGCAATCTCCTCAAATTTCTTCATAGTTGAAATGATTGGAATTGATTGCAGGGTCGGGTTGGTCTCTCAGCAGACAACGTGCAGGGTGGTTTAAATCTAATTATTTGTTGTACTTCGTGCTGTGTATTTAACTATATTAATATTCATGCTTCTGACCACATTGTGATCTTGTATCAAAAGATGGAGTAATGAGGTCAGGCAGCTTGTAACCTACCCATCCAACCTCTCTTCTGTAAGATAACCTCCCTCCCCCCACCATGTCTACTCTATCCCCCATCCCATTTATACCAAGGGGGAGGGACGCTTGTTGTTGTTGTTGAGGTGGGAAGCTTAGCCTCCCCTCGTCTTCCTCAGAAAATTTATTACGATGCACTGATAAACTCTAGGGGAAACACGCCAAAAATTTCTCACCTGATTCTATGAAGATTGCCCAAAGGGATCAATAAATGTTAATATTTCTTACTTAGGTTGATGAGGGTCGGCTTAGGTTATATCTGTCCCGCACCCCCACTAATACCCCTTCCCCCTCTTCTTGCAAAAGATGGGTGAGGCATCTGGCCCCTAGCATCTGGCCTCCAGCCTTGGTCAGACAGTCTCTGTTATATTTAGATGAATTGGATTGGAAAAAAATTATCGATCGGAATCGTATGTCTAAACTCTAAATAGCATAATATTTAATGGTTGTATTGATAAAATTATAAGGAAAAACGCCGAACGTCTGAAAACTTGGTAATGTTGATTGAATAATAATACTTCATATTGTGAAGTGACAACGAGGACATTGGTGCTATATGAACACACAATTCAACTAACCTCTGGGTTTAGGTACACATTTTGAGCTCAAAAGAATCAAACAGGAGGGAACAGATCCATGTGGCCCAACAGGACCTACACAACTCTAAACATGATGTAATGGATTGGTGATCTCTATAGCTTATATGACCTCGACGGGTGGGAGGGCGGCTTGGTGACCTCCACGGGTGGGAGGGCGGCTTGGTGACCTCCACGGGTGGGAGGGCAGCTTGGTGACCTCGACGGGTGGGAGGGCGGCTTGGTGACCTCCACGGGTGGGAGGGCAGCTTGGTGACCTCGACGGGTGGGAGGGCGGCTTGGTGACCTCCACGGGTGGGAGGGCGGCTTGGTGACCTCGACGGGTGGGAGGGCGGCTTGGTGACCTCCACGGGTGGGAGGGCGGCTTGGTGACCTCCACGGGTGGGAGGGCAGCTTGGTGACCTCCACGGGTGGGAGGGCGGCTTGGTGACCTCCACGGGTGGGAGGGCGGCTTGGTGACCTCGACGGGTGGGAGGGCGGCTTGGTGACCTCGACGGGTGGGAGGGCGGCTTGGTGACCTCCACGGGTGGGAGGGCAGCTTGGTGACCTCCACGGGTGGCAGAGAGCCTCCGATGCCATTACCTCAGGTATGAAAATGGCCGGAGCCTTAAGACTGCAGGTAAGACTGCTCATTACTACCTGTGATAATGAACCAGCACACCTCACAGCGGTGGCGTCTCGCACGGCCCCGCCTCATAAACCCGCTCCCAGAAAAATAAAAAATAAAATCCTTTGAGCACTATTGAACCTTATCAATTATAAAAGAGCCGTAGGGTTTTTGTTTTTTTGTATATAACCCTGCACTTTGAAAAGCGACCCCCTGCCTCATGCCGCTCAAATGATTCCGATAATTATCTTACCCCCATAGGCCTTTCATCTAGCATAGGCCTAGACAGGGGTGCAAAGGAGAAGGGAGGGAGGGAGAGAGAGAAGACGGGAGGGGAGTGCACCTGGAGGCACACTTCCACAACACCGCTCTACAGTACTCGGGAGGTCTGGAGGATGACCTTGTGTCACCTGTGACCTGTGTGCTCACACGCAGGTAAGTCGACCATGTGAATTGAGATGTATAAAACGAAGGCGATAATGACATTACGGTCGCTTGTACTTCCAGCCTTAACTCACTGCCTCCCTCTCCCTCCCTCCCTCTCCCATCTGTCCCCTCCTCTCATCTATCCCGTCTCTCCCATTTCCCTCAGCTTTGCACGAGCTGGGCGCGTGACAAAGGCTTGATGCTGATAATTATTTCAATTTCCCGAGGCGGTGTCTTTCACTAGGCCTACCTACACAGAGGGAGAGGGGAGAGACGGAGCGAGGGGAGCGAGCATCGTTACAGACGGGATGATGAACGAGCACCAAGACAAAGGGTACAGAGGGACGGAACATAACACCAGTGTTCACCAACAAGTTAAAGCGCATGATGAAAGTAGTGATGGATGTTAATATAGAACACAATGAAGTCTAAGAAATAACATGGTGTTTACTGAATATAAGACTAATGAATAATACAAACAAGTTGTGAAGATCTCTCACATTATGATACACGCCGGTGTGCTTGTGAGGGTTTGTCTTCACATAATTGGCTCCCACTCTCAACCTTCAGTTGACTGGTGAACAGAGTCTAGTCTTTTGTGTTGTGTCTTTGCCTCCACCACTTCATTCATTAGTACATTCACCTAATTAACTACTATCACTGACTGAAACAATAAATTTAATTCATTTAACCTTCTTCGTAACTCATATCTGCCAACTCTGGCACTTGGCTGGTGGGATACCTATGAACTTTCCCAGTTTTGTTTTGTGTTAAACAGATAAATACTGTACATTGGCTTTTCCACTCTGGAAGATAATGTATTTTCGAGATTTGGTATAAAGGCATGATTGTTAATCAATATTGCATACATAGCTGATGACGCCCTGTTGATGTGCAACCCGTCCTGTTGAATAGTACATTGTATTTTGACGTATAAATCCCCTAAAGCCAAAAACTGATGTACTAAAAAAACAGAGCGGCACCCAAAATTGACATGATGCCTCGTTTTCCATTGGTATGTCCTCAGTTTAGGTTCAGGCAATTTATTACATCAGTTTAGTGACGTTGTGAACGCTCTAGAGGACTGGCTGTGATGTGAGCTTCATGAGACAGGTTCGGTGTGATATCAATCCACGTTTCTTCTCTTCTCCCTTCCCCCTGTTTCATCCCAAATCCTTATCCTGATCCCTTCCAAGTGCTCTATAGTCGTAATGGCTTGGCGCTTTCCCCTGATAATTCAATTCATTTCTTCCCTGTTCTAGGAGGAGTTTATTTCTTCCTTGTGTTCCCAGCTCCCAGCATCATTATTTTGCACCTGAACCATTCCTTCAGGTTGTCCAGATCATCCTGTAATGACCTGCAGTCTATATAAGACCTGCAGTCTTATATAGACTGCAGGAAATATCAGTGTATGTGTACACATTTGTGTGTCAACTTTGTATTCACCTAGTTGTGTTCACCTAGTGGTGCTTCCGGGGGTTGAGCTCTGCTCTTTCGGCCCGCCTCTCAACTGTTACTATTTTTTTTCCACACCACACACACCCCAGGAAGTAACCCGTGACAGCTGACTAACTCCCAGGAACTTACTGCTAGGTTACAGGGGCATAGGGTGAAAGAAACTCTGCCCATTGTTTCTCGCCAGCGCCCGGGATCGAACCCGGGACCACAAGATCACGCGTGCTATCCGCTCAGCCACCGGTCCCCGATTTGTGTGTGTGTGTGTGTGTGTGTGTGTGTGTGTGTGTGTGTGTGTGTGTGTGTGTGTGTGTGTGTGCGCGCGCGCGCGTGTGTGTGCGCGTGCGCTTGCGTGCGTGCGTGCGCGGTGTGCGTACTTGCGCGCGCGTTACACTTCTGTATACATATATTCGCCTAATCGTGGCTGTTAGCCTTCACTACTGGTGTAGTTGGTCCTTAACGCCTTCGGTTCTGTCGTATCTACTTATAAATCAAATTATGGAGTCAGACGGAGAAGTTCTTAATGATGCGTCAATGGCTTATTTGAACTTTACCTTTCATTGCTGTTTAAATTTATCTACCTGTGAGTGTGTTTATATATGTAAAAATAATCGTGTCCAAGTCCAAGTGATTAATAAAATGCCCAACACACACAAAAAAATATAGATATTGCGAACAGTTGATAACAAACATGATTATGATAAGACACATCCTCCCTCAAAGCCGCCCCTCTCAAGCGCTAAATAGAGATGTGGGAAAAAAACGCAAAAAAAAATTATTCTGCGTTGCAACATCCCCCATCAAGGCTCGTTTACCACAGCCAAAAAAGGCTCCCTCAGTTTCCCCTTGCAACGATCATATTGTTGCAACCATTAAGTCAATCGCCTCTTCCCCTCTTTACCCCTCACCATCGCCAACCACTTCGAACAACAAGACACTTTATTAAACGTTCAAGTTTATTTAGAGAGGATTTTCTCGGCATTGCCGTGAGAAGTTAAAGCTTGGTGGTGATGGCCCAGCAGCACTGTAACATGCACCTCAGTCAGCAACCCCTTGACCTTCCACGAGGTCAGCACTAGTAAAGAAACGCAACGCTGAGCGGTGTTGACAACACTGCTTGCAACTGAAGAGGGGATTGTGCAACGGGATCACCACCACCGTCAGTGTCCCGTCAAATAGGTCAATCATCGGAGTCAGGTTGGTGGCTTTTAACCCCTGTTCCCCCTCTCACCCTTCTGTCTCTTGCCTCCCTTTCCCCTCTCCCTTCTCCTCCCTTACACCTCTCCCCCGACCTGCTGCCTGTTGATCTTGCAAGTTGCTAAGAACACCGCGGCTGTGCCATGAAAACCGCGTATTACTGTCTATGCATTCATGTGGCCGGGTGATGCTGTGTATAGTCACCTAGTTGTGCTTGCGGGGGTTGAGCTCTGGCTCTTTGGTCTCGCCTTTCAATTGTCACTTAACTGGTGTACAGATTCCTGTGCCTACTAGGCTCTATCATATTTACACTTGAAACTGTGTATGAAGTCAGCCTCCATTACATCAGTTCCTATTGTATTCCATTTGTCTTCTACTCTGACACTGAAAAAATTATTTGTAATGTCTGTATGGCTCATTTAGGCACTCAGTTTTCACCTGTGTTTCCTAGTGCGTGTGCCCCTTGTGTTAAATAGTGTGTGTGTGTGTGTGTGTGGGTGTGTGGGTTGAGTAACCTCCAGCGGCAGGGGTGTTAACCCAACCTGTCCTCACAAGTAATCCACGACAATGTTACGCGTTAAAAGTTCGGTACTTCAGCTAAATATAATTTTTTCATTTCATATATTTATTATGCCCCCGATACCCATCCCGCCGGCGGTGGAGCTTAAATACCGTGATATTGACGCTTCCTCGGACTATCGATTATATTGGGCGGGTTGTTTGGGTTCACACATTTTCGGTTAAGCAAAACGTCGTATTTGACGCTTGTCAGATCGTTCTTGACCTTTATAGCGGGTGTTGCTGCAGAGGGGAGCACCTGAGGTAGTGAGGTAGAGGGGAGCACCTGAGGTAGTGAGGTAGAGGGGAGCACCTGAGGCAGTGAGGTAGAGGGGAGCACCTGAGGTAGTGAGGTAGAGGGGAGCACCTGAGGCAGTGAGGTAGAGGGGAGCACCTGAGGCAGTGAGGTAGAGGGGAGCACCTGAGGCAGTAAGGTAGAGGGGAGCACCTGAGGCAGTGAGGTAGAGGGGAGCACCTGAGGTAGTGAGGTAGAGGGGAGCACCTGAGGCAGTGAGGTAGAGGGGAGCACCTGAGGCAGTGAGGTAGAGGGGAGCACCTGAGGCAGTGAGGTAGAGGGGAGCACCTGAGGTAGTGAGGTAGAGGGGAGCACCTGAGGCAGTGAGGTAGAGGGGAGCACCTGAGGTAGTGAGGTAGAGGGGAGCACCAGAGGCAATGAGGTAGAGGGGAGCACCTGAGGCAATGAGGTAGAGGGGAGCACCTGAGGTAGTGAGGTAGAGGGGAGCACCAGAGGCAGTGAGGTAGAGGGGAGCACCAGAGGCAGTGAGGTAGAGGGGAGCACCTGAGGTAGTGAGGTAGAGGGGAGCACCAGAGGCAGTGAGGTAGAGGGGAGCACCAGAGGCAGTGAGGTAGAGGGGAGCACCAGAGACAGTGAGGTAGAGGGGAGCACCAGAGGCAATGAGGTAGAGGGGAGCACCTGAGGCAGTGAGGTAGAGGGGAGCACCAGAGGCAGTGAGGTAGAGGGGAGCACCAGAGGCAGTGAGGTAGAGGGGAGCACCAGAGGCAGTGAGGTAGAGGGGAGCACCAGAGGCAGTGAGGTAGAAGGGAGCACCTGAGGCAGTGAGGTAGAGGGGAGCACCAGAGGCAGTGAGGTAGAGGAGAGCACCTGAGGCAGTGAGGTAGAGGGGAGCACCAGAGGCAGTGAGGTAGAGGGGAGCACCAGAGGCAGTGAGGTAGAGGGGAGCACCTGAGGTAGTGAGGTAGAGGGGAGCACCAGAGGCAGTGAAGTAGAGGGGAGCACCAGAGGCAGTGAGGTAGAGGGGAGCACCAGAGGCAGTGAGGTAAAGGGGAGCACCAGAGGCAATGAGGTAGAGGGGAGCACCTGAGGCAGTGAGGTAGAGGGGAGCACCAGAGGCAGTGAGGTAGAGGGGAGCACCAGAGGCAGTGAGGTAGAGGGGAGCACCAGAGGCAGTGAGGTAGAGGGGAGCACCAGAGGCAGTGAGGTAGAGGGGAGCACCAGAGGCAGTGAGGTAGAGGGGAGCACCTGAGGCAGTGAGGTAGAGGGGAGCACCAGAGGCAGTGAGGTAGAGGGGAGCACCTGAGGCAGTGAGGTAGAGGGGAGCACCAGAGGCAGTGAGGTAGAGGGGAGCACCTGAGGCAGTGAGGTAGAGGGGAGCACCTGAGGCAGTGAGGTAGAGGGGAGCACCTGAGGCAGTGAGGTAGAGGGGAGCACCTGAGGCAGTGAGGTAGAGGGGAGCACCAGAGGCAGTGAGGTAGAGGGGAGCACCTGAGGCAGTGAGGTAGAAGGGAGCACCAGAGGCAGTGAGGTAGAGGGGAGCACCTGAGGCAGTGAGGTAGAGGGGAGCACCTGAGGCAGTGAGGTAGAGGGGAGCACCAGAGGTAGAGGGGAACATCTGAAACAGTTGAGGGTTGACACTTGAATTTAGGGAGAGTTTTTGCACTCAGTTTCAGCTATAAAATACGTGTTATTTTTGTACTCGTGTAATTAGAGGGGAAAGACAAAATTTGTACTTGTCATACATATTACATAAATGTACAAATTATTTGGAGAACGTCTCGAAACTCGTATATAGGATGGTTACTGAGAACATTTTCTTCAATTACCTTGTTCACGGGAAGTAGAGGACATACTTGCTTAAGTGTGAGGGGACCCGAGTTGAGTGTTGCATCAGGGGTAAGGCGAGGGAGGGGACGAGGAAGGTGGTAGGGAGGGAGAGGGGAGATTCACAACTGACTCCTGAGGGGATGTTGATAGCCTGTTGATCCCTTGAAATAATACTATTCATTACGGGCAGCGGAGGGGAAGGCTCCCAATACCCCTATTGACTTTGCAACAATGGGATTAGGCGCTGCAACGTGGCGCTTATTGCAAGGGGAACAATCAGATAGTCGTTTTAGAGCCCCCTTTTGTTGTTGAATTATTTGCGGATTAGTCGTGATCTGATTTGATACGGCAGCTTGGTTGGTTTATGGCCTAGCAGTATGCCACGTTGCAGTGATGGGGCGTTGCTGGCCTTGGTTAAGGCAGTAGCAATGGACTTATCATATATTCAGTGGTATGAACATTTTTGTTTATATATATATATATATATATATATATATATATATATATATATATATATATATATATATATGTCGTACCTAGTAGCCAGAACGCACTTCTCAACATACTATGCAAGGCCCGATTTGCCTAATAAGCCAAGTTTTCATGAATTAATGTTTTTTCGACTACCTAACCTACCTAACCTAACCTAACCTATCTTTTTCGGCTACCTAACCTAACCTACCTAACCTAACCTATCTTTTTCGGCTACCTAACCTAACCTAACCTATAAAGATAGGTTAGGTAGGGTTGGTTAGGTTCGGTCATATATCTACGTTAATTTTAACTCCAATAAAATAAAATTGACCTCTTACATAATGAAATTTGTAGCTTTATCATTTCATAAGAAAAAAAATAGAGAAAATATAATAATTCAGGAAAACATGGCTTATTAGGCAAATCGGGCCTTGCATAGTAGGCTGAGAAGTGCGTTCTGGCTACTAGGTACGACATATATATATATAACTGAAAAGAGTCACTTCTGGGGTGTGAGTTTTCAGTTGTATATAGTCCTGGGGACCATTCAGGCTTGTTTGCATTTGTGTTCCTCACGTGTGCCCCAAAGAATGAGGTGATTTGATAAAATGCTATGCCCAAGATTACCATCCGAGTGCCGGCGGGGAAGTGGTTCAAATAGCCTCGGCTATCACTTCCTTTTGTCCGGTCGTGATGGTCAAGCGGATTAAGGCGTCCCTGTACATACCAGTTGCGTTGCTCCTGGGAGTATGGGTTCAAGTCACTTCTGGGGTGTGAGTTTTCAGTTGTATATAGTCCTGGGGACCATTCAGGCTTGTTTGCATATATATATATATATATATATATATATATATATATATATATATATATATATATATATATATTAGTATATTTTGGTAGCAGTCTTTCCTGTAGACATATATTATTAAATATGACCGAAAAAGTAAGATTAATAATTCTAACACGAATTTTCTCAATCTTTCGTACATTTCTTTTCACTGTTGGAGGTAAATCAAAAATCAATTCTCCAAAATTCATTTTTATTTCTAGTCTGACGCGACACGAGCGCGTTTCGTAAAACTTATTACATTTTCAAAGACTTTAGTTTACAAATACACAACTGAATAGAACTTACGCATCTCCGATTTTATATCTACATTTTAGTGAGGTGGATGGGGTGAGGTGGCATTAATAGGGTATTAATTTCATCAACACAAGACAGAACAAGAGGTGGCATTAATAGGGTATTAATTTCATCAACACAAGACAGAACACGAAACAATGGGTATTGAATAGAAGTGTTTGTAGAAAGCCTATTGGTCCATATTTCTTGATGCTTCTATATTGGAGCGGAGTCTTGAGGTGGGTAGAATATAGTTGTGCATTAATTGTGCACATTTTTACACAGGTACCTGATGTCAGACATCTGCAGGAGCTGAAGGAGGCATTTGAGCAGAGTTCCGTGCTGCGTTTCACTTACGAGATGGAAAAGGATGGGAAGCTGCCCTTTCTTGATGTAACAGTCATGGAAAAGAGCGGAGGTTTCCACACTGCAGTCTACACTAAGGAAACGAACATAGGAAAGTGCCTAAATGCCAACAGCGACTGCCCAGACAAGTACAAGAGGAGTGTTGTTAACGCATATGTCGACCGTGCTCTCAGCCACAGCTCAGAATGGAAGCAAGTCGACGAAGAACTCTGTAGGGTAAGGCAGGTCCTAGTCAACAACGGCTTCTCCAATGGTTTCGTCGAAGACATCATAAGAAGGAAAGTGAAACGCCATGCAACCTCTGAAGAGACAACTAACACAACACCTATACCCCCTATTAGACTATTTTACAGGAACTTCTTTTCCACAGCTCATAAAACGGAGGAAAGGGTCCTGAAAGATATTGTTAATAGAAACGTTATCCCTACAGACAAAAATCAGAGGATACAACTGACGATTTACTATAAAACCAGAAAAACGGCCAGCCTACTCATGAGAAACTCTCCAGACACAAAACAGAACGCTTTAAAAGAGACTAACGTCGTCTATGCCTTCAAATGCCCTCTTGGGGACTGTAAGCTCCAAAAACCCAGTATATAGGCAAGACAACAACATCTCTTTCTAGGCGTTTAACGATGCATAAGCAACAGGGCTCCATTAAGGAACATATAATCTCTTCCCACAACCAAACCATCGCCAGAGAAATCCTAGTAAACAACACAGAAATCATCGATAGATACAGCGATAGCAGGCGGCTTGACGTTTGCGAGGCACTACACATCAAGAAGTCAACACCAGCAATCAACAGCCAATTAATGCACAACTATATTCTACCCACCTCAAGACTCCGCTCCAATATAGAAGCATCAAGAAATATGGACCAATAGGCTTTCTACAATCACTTCTATTCAATACCCATTGTTTCGTGTTCTGTCTTGTGTTGATGAAATTAATACCCTATTAATGCCACCTCTTGTTCTGTCTTGTGTTGATGAAATTAATACCCTATTAATGCCACCTCACCCCATCCACCTCACTAAAATGTAGATATAAAATCGGAGATGCGTAAGTTCTATTCAGTTGTGTATTTGTAAACTAAAGTCTTTGAAAATGTAATAAGTTTTACGAACGCGCTCGTGTCGCGTCAGACTAGAAATAAAATGAATTTTGGAGAATTGATTTTTGATTTACCTCCAACAGTGAAAAGAAATGTACGAAAGATTGAGAAAATTCGTGTTAGAATTATTAATCTTACTTTTTCGGTCATATTTAATATATATATATATATATATATATATATATATATATATATATATATATATATATATATATATATATATGTCGTACCTAGTAGCCAGAACTCACTTCTCAGCCTACTATGCAAGGCCCAATTTGCCTAATAAGCCAAGTTTTCATGAATTAATTGTTTTTCGACTACCTAACCTACCTAACCTAACCTAACCTAACTTTATCGGCCACCTAACCGAACCTAACCTATAGAGATAGGTTAGGTTAGGTTAGGTAGGGTTGGTTAGGTTCGGTCATATATCTACGATAATTTTAACTCCAATAAAAAAAAATTTACCTCATATATAATGAAATTGGTAGCTTTATCATTTCACAAGAAAAAAAATAGAGAAAATATAATAATTCAGGAAAACTTGGCTTATTTGGCAAATCGGGCCTTGCATAGTAGGCAGAGAAGTGCGTTTCCGGCTACTAGGTACGACATATATATATATATATATATATATATATATATATATATATATATATATATATATATATATATATATATATATATATGTATATATATACAACAATGATCACAAAAACACTGATCCAAGTATGCAGAATAACCACATATGAAAAATAGAAATGAAAATAGAAAATGCTTAACGCGTTTTCGGCTAATTCGCCTTCATCAGAGCAAAGTAGAATGATTCTACTTTGCTCTGATGAAGGCGAATTAGCCGAAAACGCGTTAAGCATTTTCTATTTTTCATATGTGGTTATTCTGCATATATATTATATATATATATATATATATATATATATATATATATATATATATATATATATATATATATATATCTGAACTATAAGCTATTTTCTATTTAATGAAGAAACGGTGAAGTGCAATGACGTATTTAAGTATATGTGGAAAGAGTGGTGACAAATCTCGTATATTTCTTGAGAGTACCTGCATGTTTGTGTATGACCATCTAAGTAACAATCTCACGGATATTTAAGTGTATTACTTAAACAAAAATGCCCGACAGATTTAGCTGTCTACACGAGACAGGAGAACACAAATGTCCTGTCGCAGATTTTACTGTTAATCCCACAACAGACGAGCCACAAGTGGCCTTATAGTCTCGACCACAGACCAGGGTCGAGCCTCTTACAATTATTTTAATTACTATATAGTAATTACTTATATAGTATTATATATTAATTAGTATTAATTACGGTATAGCCTCTTAGCTATACCGTAATTAATGCAAGTATTGGCAACTGACACTTCATGAGTGACCCCGTGTATAACCTGCCACCAGTGACCCCGTGTATAACGTGCCACCAGTGACCCCGTGTATAACGTGCCACCAGTGACCCCGTGTATAACGTGCCACCAGTGACCCCGTGTATAATGTGCCACCAGTGACCCCGTGTATAATGTGCCACCAGTGACCCCGTGTATAACGTGCCACCAGTGACCCCGTGTATAACGTCCCACCAGTGACCCCGTGTATAACGTCCCACCAGTGACCCCGTGTATAACGTCCCACCAGTGACCCCGTGTATAACCTGCCACCAGTGACCCC